CTAGACTGTTTCAAAACAAGTTCTTAATTTGCAAAGATCAATGTATTACTTTTAACTTTGATCAGAAATTGTACAAGGCAAATTTTTTCTGTCTTGATGAAATGAGAAATAAAAACACGTTGGGCAAAACCACACTTCCGCTTTTACCTACTTACAATATGCCGAGTCTTGCCAAAGTAAGAAAAAAAAAACAACGCACAACGACCATCAAAACAAATAAAAGACGGAACCTTATACAAAAATATAAGAATAGAACAGAAAGCACTGTCAGGTTTCCAAAACTGCGTTCAGATTTACATTCATAAACGTCAGGATCGTTCTTTACGAGAACTGTTTTCTGTGTATCCGCAAATGTCTTGCACACATTTGCACCAACTCAAGCTATATATGATTCATGTCATTGAATTGTAACTGGTATCGAATTTGCAAACAATATTTTCATGTAAAAAACTCTTTTCTCATTTCCCATACTCTTGAAGGCCATGAAGGGAAGCATTTCACCATTATGATTCCAAGAGCCAAAACAGGGTAACGTACTTCTTTTTTACCCATTCGCCCCAGTAGATTTTGCCGAAAAACGCGTTTTGAAGCTAGTCGAGTGGTTTTCTGGTCACTGTCATGTTATAAAGAGCTAGAACTTACCACAAACCGGTTTACAGGTCGTACACTTCACGGCCTTCTGATCCAGATGCAAAATATCAGCTCGCGAAGTTCGGGCATGCGCATAAAGCAAAATTTCGAGGTTTTTGGGTTTAAAAGTAACACAGCAGTCTTGACTTTTACTTTTCGCTTTCTCTCCTCTCCTCTTTTTTCGCTTTTCTTGCCTCATTTTTTTTTCTCTTGCTGGGAATTTAGTAGGCTTCATTTTGGTGGGAAGAGTTTTTAGGAAAGCTTTTAGGATCTTAGAATTAGGTGAAAGGAAAGGTAGGTGAGCAATGGAACAAGATTTTCATGGAGATTTTCTGGTCAATGTCACATCGTTTTTTGCTTCTTTCTCCGGTGTCCTTGACTGAATTGTGCTCATTCTGGTATGGTTTGAAAGATCTCCTCACTCTGCACAAGTTAGCGGACAAAGTTGTCCTTGATCGTTAAAACTGATGACGTCACAAAGGGTAGAAAGGACGTGGATCCGCCCGGGCGGTTACAGGCGGTTCAGGGGCGAATTAAAGGAGCTGTGTCACGCAATTCAGCCAAATTAAAAAATTACAAAATGCCCGTTGAATTAAGAGAAACATAAAAGTAACCGCTTAAAACTTTAAAGGAAGGTTAAAATAACATAACAGAAGCAACAGATGCCACGGATGGCCAAAACTGAAGAAGATTGAAACAGATTGAAATTAGGGTTTTTGAAAACTATTCAGCCCAACAGTATTTCAAAGTTGATTCCTGCTGCTTGCAATTTCAAAAATAATGCTCAGGAGACATATTTTTTTGTCTCTGGTCTCTGATTTTGTTATTTACTTGTAATTTCCTTGCTTGCTTTAAGTTCCATAGCGATTGAGGGCGAGTAATTGGCAAAATGAAACAAAATGTACTGGACTGCCGTGACACAGCCCCTTTAAATAAAACTTGACCCCTTTCGTCAAATCTAAAACCATACGGCATTGTTTCTAACAAACAAGATAAAAATTTACATTTGTCTCTTTAAACTGCAGTGTTCAAGTGGTTGGATTGAAGCGTCTATGCTCCTCGCTCTGAATGCCCTGTTTTAACTCCAAGCGCTGAGATATAAGAGAGTCAGCTTACTCACACCCTTCAATTTAACAATGCGTGTTTGATGTGTTTAGCAGCTGTGCGGAGCTGTATACGATGATCTGTACGATGCCATTCCTGTCAGAATTACTGGCATAAATAAATGCATTGTGGTCACGAGACAAGACACTCCCTCATCATAAAAGTCTCAACAAGAGACAAATCGCCTCAACCTCGGCTTTAAAAGCCGCCATAGTTGTATATTCATTGAATGTCCTGTAAGACTTGCAAAAAGCAAGATAATCTACTAGTTTCTTTTAAAATATTGCTTATTTTAAGTTTACGATATATCTACTAGTATCTTCAGTCAATTTAGTCGGCTATTTCACGTCTATGTTGATCTATAACCTACTTCATAAGTATGCAACACAGGAATTTAGTAACGAATCCCTTTTTATGAGTAAGTTACCTATTGCCAGTATATAAATGATAACCCACGCGGTATGTTGGGAGAACACGAGAAAAGTTTGTAAATCACGAGCCGAAGGCGAGTGATTTACAAGCCCTCCAAACGCATTTTCTATGAGTTTACCGGCACAATAAACCTTAGGTTTTTGACCAATCAAGCGTACTATCATAGTTATTTCATAAATACAAAAGTCAGCCGGTACTGCTAATTACTATGGAACGTGTTTAATCTTACGTCCTAAAAGTTTTCATAAGCGATATTCAGTCAAGTTAATCTATTTTACGTGTACAACCGACTTCATAAGTAAGTAACACTGGAATAAAAGTACACCCTGTTTTATGAGTAAGTTACCTAATGCTGGCGTAGGGAACTCAAAAGAATAAATGCCTTCTTTGAGTCTACGGTGACTGCTAACTACTACGCGTATTTAATTGCACAGCGCCGAAACCCTTGTTCAGGGCCCCACTTGTGTACCAGGATTTGAGCACGTGCTATGATTGGCCAGTTACCCATTGAAAAAAGCCATTGCCAATTTGTCAGACAAATTGACGAGAATATCGAAACGCGTTTCAGGTAACTGATTCGTTTTCATTTCTGGTAATTCGTTCAGTAAGCTGGGGGACCAGAATAAGGACGTTACTACTAAATTATAAACCGGTTTAAGATTACGTCTGCAACGCAGGCTACATTATCTACCCCTATCTTTGATTTATATTGCGGTCTACTTCAGCTGTATGACCTTCATAAGAAAGTAATATCTGAATAAATGTAAATATATATTTTGTAAGTAACGTATTGCATATGTAAAAATAATGCTTATTTTTTCATTTGTGTTACTCTAATACAGACACTTGATTCATATCAGAGAAACCAACCTTACTAAATCTTCAAGCAGAAACTGATGCTATTTTTACCAGTAAATGTTCAGTCAGATCTTTGCTTTGCCATTGCCCGGTAGTGCCTAGTGTCTTAATCTCGCCTTTGGGCATAAGGGAGTATATTTTTTCACATGAACCAAATCCTGGGCACCCTAGATTTCACAATCTTCAAAGGTTCAGAGCACCGGGCCCTCTTCAATTTTCAGAGCACAGGCATTCAGATAGTGGGGAAGGCGCAAAGAAAAGCGCGCGCCACTCTTCACGATCTGAACGACTGGAACATGCTAAGGGCAC